GTTCCATGTGGTGGGGTTATTTGAAAACCTGAACTCCATAACCTCACATCGTTTTAGCAGCTTTTTACAAAAAACAACTTGATTTTGATTGAATTAAAGACACACGAGAGGGAGATTGAGTCAGGATTCAGGCCTAACTTGTATAGCATCTCTCTTCCTATCTTAACTCCTTTGAAATGACAGAGAATATAATATATATCAGGAACAGTGCCAGGAAATAAGAACGATTACCATTAGGGGGCCAGATTTTTGGAGAGCTTCTTAGAGGATAGAAAGCAGATGGGACCAGAAGAATGGAGTAGGCAATTCCTGAGGTATTTGCAGGAGCCCAGCAGGGCAGGCCGTCGGGGAAGAAGGGAGTGGTCAGAGGGAGGCCTGGGCCAGTTGACAGGGTGATGAATAGACTAACTGCTTTTGTCTCTGTTGGGTTTCCAACCACAGGCTCTTTACGCCCCCCTGAATTCTATGATTATCTGCAGCTACATTGGCCTCCCTTGCAATCAAGTGGGTGTGGGCCCCGGGTTCAAGAGGCACAAAGAGGTCACAGATAGCCAGCAATCCCAGGGAACACAGAGACATCACAGAAGAAAATAAGCATCCTCTGAGTGTAGGACATTTTATTCTTGTCTCATAACACTTGGAACAATCCTTATAATCAAGTTGCATTGTGTGTATTTCTTGAGTATTTAGAAAGTTTATAATGAGGATATGGGATTTCGTAAGCTCCAATTCCTGGAACCCGGGCTGGAGTGTTCTGATCCCAGCTCCCCTGCCTCTCCCTCTCAGTCCCTAGGTCTCAGTCCCAGTCAGGGTCCTGCCCCTTCCCCTAAATATCTACCTTCTGGACCTGACCGATCTTGCTAAACCAGCTAGAGTTGAACATAGTACAGAACCTGGTCTGGACAAAGATGGATCATCACCTTTCCTGCTCACACATCTCCAACACTCGCTTTGCATCTACTACATTGTGCCTACAAGGACTGGCGTTGAGCTGAAAGTCGACATGGAAATGCTGTATTGATCCTGTTCTTTAAAAAATAGGTATAAACAGCCTTGGCCAGTTTGGCTCAGTGGTTGAGCGTCAGCCTGCAGACCAGAGAGTCCTGGGTTCGGTTCCCGTTTGGGGCATGTACCACACACACACACACACAAAAGGTATAAACAGACCTTCCACCACTCCATACAAACACTCTTTACCTAAGAGCTAACATTATTATCTTGGAAAATAATGACAGTGGATTATTTTCCATTCATATGTCCACGGTAGGATGCACATCCTTGCCCCTGAGCATGCCCCTGGCTGGTGCAGAGGGGTCACTAGTATTAACACGTGCTCTACTTATAGGAAGTCCTAAAGCAGGAGGCTGATAGCCACGTAAAAACCTGAATGCATTCTAACTCTGGAACAACAGACCCTGCTCTAAATGGTCTGTCGCAGCCTTATGAAAGATGAGACTTCAATCAACTTGCTTTCCTGAATGTCAGGAGCAACTTGGGGAGGAGGGGTTTGGATTCTTCATATAGCTCTTCGGTCAGCCTCGGACACATTGTGTGTGTGATGTAAGTGCTTTCTTTTGGTTTTAAGCTCAGAAATATCCTTTAATACATGTCCCTTTAATTATAAAAGCTTGTAGATTCAGAGTTTTATGTCTTTATTTTCTTGAATTTTAAGGCAGAATTGAAATAGTTCTTGCCCTGGCCAGTTTGGCTCAGCGGTTAGAGTGTCGGCCTGCGGTCCAGAGAAATAGTTCTTTACGTTATTTACTTTAAAGTGTTGAAAAGACATCTTTGTTTCTCAATAACTTATTTGATTTGTGTGGGGGTTTTCTGTATTATTATGTATTTCGATAACTTTCCATTTCTCTGCAGACTGATAGTTGAAAAAATAAACTTGAATTATTTCTTGCTAATTTTAGGCCATGAAGTTTTTTTTCATCTTACTGTAGCAATGTATTGGATCAAAGGCATGGTTGGGATCTATTTCTGAGTCTGTACATGTGTTTCTTCCATCTGACTCTGTCTGCGCCCGACTATGCGGTAACATTGTTGCAGTCATCATTCTGCTCCCTGACAACTTGTAAAATGCAGATTCATGAATGTGTCTGGGACCTTATGCACAGCATCATGCTATTGTTGGGTCAGACTTCACCTAATCGGATGAAATCCCAAGAATGTGAGAGGTCACAGACTTGGTACTGCAGGGACTCTGCTGGGGTCCCCCAGGGTTCATGGATACCCCTGGTCCAGTGAAATGGGCAAGGGTTCGGGGAACCGTGAATCTGGAGTGCACGCTTCTTGCTGCTTTTTCAAAGCTGAGCACTTTTCCAACTGAAACCAGTTTATATCATAAGCCTTAAATTCACAAGAAAAGCAGGGCCAGTGATGAGGTAGACAAAATAACAACAAAACATGATTAATAAGGAATTACCAGTTCATAATGTTACATTTCCTTGGTGAGAGAAGGCACATGCTGTGAGTTTATATTAAAGACACTGTGGAGAATAGTTCAGTCCGAACGCTTTAACCTTGGGAACAGGTTGGAAAGAGTATCAGATATAAAGTGACATAAGCAACAATAACTCACTTCACATAGGCCCAGTTTCAACACTCAATGGAACCGTAAAGAAAAGCCCAGCTGGTGTGGTGGCATTAGAAAACCACAAAGAAAATTTCCCTCTTCCTGACTCCTCGCTCTCCGGCTCTCCTCATCTCCGGTTATAAAGATTTAGCCACCTCCTTCCTTTTCCCTTTTTTTGTTGTTTTCTGACCAAAGAACCCTGTCATCCGTCAGACCTGTTTCAAAATACCCAGCTACAAAATTAAATCCATTTCATTTCCACGCCTTCGTTAACTCTTATTTCTTCAGGAGTCCTTTGAGGAAAGAAATATTAACATGTGAACTGGCTTTTAAGTTTTTTGTACAGAAAAGCCAGCTTTAACGAGTCCTTTTTTTTACAAAGGATATTTTTTAGTTCCTTTTGTCTCAAGATGTGTAGAACCAAATCCTTGTCTTGGAAGGATTTGTGTGTGAATTTCACACACGACGTTTGTATTTTACAACAGGACACGTGTGTCTACAAGGAGTGCAGTTGACAATATTAGCAGACTAAAGAAACATGGGGTTTGGGAGAAGACTACCTTTCAAGCATTAGTAAAATAACATCTCAGAACAAGTAACAGTGACCCTGGGATGGGTGGGGTGAAAGGGCATAACCATATTCTCCTGGGAAGAGAAAACTACTTTCATTTATTTATTCAAACCCAGAAATGTGGTTTGTTGTAAGGAGTTTTGAGCCTTCTTGTACATTTTTGTGGTGACGTAGTCAGAGAGCACTTTATATTAAAAATCTTAGCAGTAATCACTAAGAGGGAAACTTAGATGATGGAGACTTAAATACAAAGGAAAAAAACCTGAATAAAAACAGTCGAGAGTTCCAGAAATAATCTCTTTGGGTTTCTCAACACTATCTGATGGGACGTGTGACAACTAGAGGCAACGGGTTCAAAATACTGCCTCTCCTCGGTCCTCTGAGTGAGATCTGCCCGCCCGAGATAGACCTGCTCCCTGTGCCCCGAGGACCCCTGGGGTGCTCTCCGAGCTGCGTCCCCTTGTCGGGCCCAGGCCCAGGGCTCGCCTTCTTCCAGGGACTCTCAGACACGATGACACATCAGGGCTCCAAGTAGTTCTAGATCTTCTCTCCCCAAAGACTTTTTGGATATAAAACTAAGAACAGCGGTTTGGAGAGGATGAGTTAGAGAAAAAGTATTAGGTACTGAGCTCTGGGTCCCAAAATATCAACTAAATTGAATTCTGCTCTTCAGCGAAGACCACCCAGGCTCTCTAGTGTAACATTTCACAGCACAATGTTAACTGCTCAAGGCTACACGGGAGAAAGGAAATGAGAGAGAAAATTATTGGCAGTCGCAAAATCGTAGTTTTTGCCCACATGGTTAGTGACATCAAAGAACTAAAACTTATTCCAAAAGAAATGATATATATTTTTTAATAATGAAATTGACTTACTTGATACCCTCTTAGGTGTCCATGACCGTCTGTGCTCTGGGGTAGCTGACTGAGGAAGGTTTCCTGCCTTCCGTCAGCCTAGTTACATGTGAAGAAAGGAGGAGATGCACATTAAGAGAGACTACTGCATAATGACAGTTGGTACAAGTTCATACAAACTTTTTTGAAAATAATTTGCAAGACTCAAATTACAAAGGCTCAAATATGTGGCCAGATCTATGTAAAAGCCTTCTGTACTTTACTTATTCTACCTAATTATATTTTGTTAGACATACTATTGACCTAGATACTGGTATGCTGTCATGTATAACTTACAATTTATTTAAATATATTCCTGCATGCAAAGAAATTACTACCTTTACCAAAACATATAAGATACAAGAGACGCAAGGATGGAGGGAGAAAAACTGTCTTCCCTACCTCCAGTTCTGCAGACCGAGACACAGTAAGCCTCGGCTTGTGTGAATCATCATGATTTCAAAAAACTGCTGCAGTCTCCTGACATTTCTTCTGCCTAATATTAATAGCATCGCTTACCTATTTCACAAAATGAAGCAATGAGTAGAAATGCTAATCCTGTACTCTCTCTTTTGCCTCCATAATAATTCAGCATTTTTTAGAAAATGATACCTTTATTTCAGTGCACGAATAGGCCTTTACAGACATTTCATTAAATTACGAGACAACCTGTGACAAAACTGTAGGGTATTATGATTATCTTCAATTTCCAGATGGAAAGTGAGAGAGAGAAAAGGTTTAGTTACTTTGTTAGGTAGTCATCATGTAGCTGATGACTGCCAAGCTGGCCTAGAAGGCTCTGTCCTCTCCTCTTTGTCCAGACTCCTGGCCTGCCTGATTGAGTCTGCCTTGCTAATGTAAGACACACCTTCATGCTGGGAAGCATCCATACTGCTTATACATTGGAAGTATTTTCTCATCAAATGCTTTGTGCATTACAATTTAAAATAGCGGCTTTATCATTTCTTGGCCTCTTGGTTGAGGTTAAGTGTAATCACTGTTCTTATCAGTATAATATCTGCTATGTCCTCTACTGAGGATGGCATATTACATGGGTTTTTGGAGCAGGGAGGCAGAATAGTAGCTTTGCTCTGACCATTCCGAATGTCGACCCCATGTTGCAGTACTTCCAGAAATGGTTCATCCCCTGGGGAAGGTGGGAAATGACTACCTTGCTCATGATATTCCCTCCAGCAACTATTTCTTCTTCAGTCTCCTGGAGCTGGGTAATTGAATAAACACTCCTGGACTAACTTAAGCCAATCAGATTCTATATCCTCTAATAATTTGAAACATGAACAAAAGACATATGGATTAAAATTCTGTTGATATTGACTCATAAATAGAGAGTAGCCCAGAGAAAAAGAAGGTATAGTGAGTACCTGGGGGCTCCCTGCAGTTTTATTGTTCAAGTCTTCTATTGATCTACCATAATTTCCACCCATCATTTTTCCTTGAGAGCATATAAGTAAAAGAAATTTTAATTCCTTATGGTTTATGGCTATGTTTTATAAAAGCAATTCTAAAAAATTTTTTTTCTTTTTTGATTTTTAGAGAGAGAGGAAGGGAGAGGGAGAAAAAGATGGAAACATTGATGAGAGAGAACATCCATTGGTCACCTCCTACATGACCCCACTGGGGAGTGGGCCCACAACCTGGGCATGTGCCCTGACTGGGAGTCAAACTGGTGACCTCTGGGTGCATGGGTCGATGCTCAGCCACTGAGCCACACTGGCCGGGCTATAAAAGCAATTCTATTTATCCACATTTATTTTGAAATATTTTTTCTAAATCCTCAGTGTATTTTTTTTAGCTCCTGTGACCAGATAATTACTAATATTGCCAAATGATCGTTTCCTCTTTCATTACCACCTTTCCTGATTGCTGGCTTCTCGGTCTTCTCACATTGTTTAATCTTCTTCCTCTAAGTCACAAATACTTTGTCTGTCATCTAAGGAAATATTCTCTCAGAAGCACCTTGTTTTACAATGTATGTTTTAGTTTGAACCCATTCTTCTATTTATTGATTTGACAGCACAATTAAAGTTGTAAAAAGAGCTAGACAAACACAGTTTAAGAAGAGTCAAGCTCTGCATGACAACAGACCCATCCTGTACACAATGGTAGTCTCATAAGATTGTAAGGAAGTCCCTGGCTGAGTAGCTCAGTTGGTTAGAACATTGTTCCCACATACTAAGGCTGTGGGTTGATCGCTGATCAGGGCACATATAGGAATCAACAATAAATGCATACATAAGTGGGAAAATAAATAGATGTTTCTCTCTCTCTCTCTCTCTCCCCCTTTCTCTCTCAAATCAATGTTTTTAAAAAGATTATAATGAAGCTGAAAAAAGTTTTGAGATACAGTTTTTATTTGGAAAAAAAAAACAACTTGCTTCCTTTTGTTGTTAGTAGAATGGTATACTGACAATAGTATTTAAGAGAAACATTGTCATTATCAGCCCAAGTAAGTTGACATTTTATCTCTTTTTATGTAATCTACGGGAACAGTGATTTCACATGTCAGTGCGCGGCCTGACCCATGTAACTGCATATTGGAAACTAGACACTAGAGCAGGACAAGCTCATGTTGGTAAGTACTGGGAAATAGGACTCTTCTCTCTCTTGTGTATGTATATATATATATATATATATATATATATATATATATATGATTAATACACATGGAGCCTTATGACCATTAATATTTTTAAAGATATATTCACATTGACATTATTTCTCTCTTGTTTTGGATTAGAAGAGTAAAATTAGTGATATGATCAAATCAATTTGGTGCAATGAAGTCATACTGAGCTCAAATGCAGGCTCTGCTGCTTATGAATGTCCTCAGTTTTGTTTTTGTAAAAGGGAGATAATAGCCATATTATGGGGTTGTTGAAGAGAGGAAATAAAATTCGTCTATAATAGACACAGCATAGTTTAAACCTTATTTTTTTCTTTATTGATTTTTAGATAGAGAGGAAGAGAGAGGGAGACAGAGATAGAAACATCTATGAGAGAGAACATCAATTGGCTGCCTCCTGCACGCCCCAACACTGGTGATAGGGCTCACAACCTGAGCATGTGTCCTGACCAGGAATTGAACCAGCGACCTCTTGGTACATGGGTCAATGCTCAACCACTAAGCCACAGCGGCCGGGTAAACCTTATTTGTTATCATTGTTGATCACATAGAAAGTTGCTCTATGGCAGCCCGTTCAGGGGGAGGGCTGAGAGCTATAGCATGCTAGAGGAGAGGCACATATTCCTGGCAGGGGTAACTATACGCAATATTCAGCATGCATTTATCTTTAACAGATTATTTTGAAAAAGCTAACTCAAAATCATACAGAATGGGTTGGTCAGCAATTTTGACTACAATATAATTAAATGACATATATTTAAAAAGCTACTACACTGAAGTATGAACTGTAACAAATGACTTAAATTGCCTATGAATATCTGTGCTTTTCCTTTTTTATGAAGCAGCATCATTATTACTTTTCACAATAAAATATTTATATGACAAAGAAATCATTGTCATAATTAGTGGAAAATATATAAAATATTCATTTTGTTTTCATTGTACTTTTGAAAGGAAAAAAATCATTATAGGGAAAAGAATACTCAATTAAAATTTAAATAAAATATATTCTCTTTATTGGAATCCATTTATATTAAAGAACTGTGATAAATGTAAGTTTTTGCTTTTAGTAATTTTACAATAATTTAATAAAATTATATAACTACTCCTTGATAATTTTATCTGTCTGTGTCTCCTTCCCACTTGAGTACACATTTGTGGTACAGGCTGTTCTTGTCTACTGCTATCAAAACCTGAGAGAGCCCTGGCCGGTTTGGCTCAGCGGCTGGAGTGTTGGCCTGCGGTCCGGAGAGACCTGGGTTCGGTTCCCGCTAAGGGCACGTACCTCGGTTGCAGTTTGTCCCCGGCCCTGGTTGGTCGTGCGGGTGGCAGCCACTCGATGTGTCCCTTTCACATTGATGCTTCCCTCTCTCTTTCTTCCTCTCTCTCCCTCCCACTCTGTCTGTACAAAAAATGGAAAAATGTCCTTGGGTGAGGATTAAAAAAAAAAACCTGAGAGAGAAGAGTCCCATTTCCCAGTGCCTACGAACGAGAGCTTGCCCTGCCCCAATTTCTAGTTTCCGATATGCAGTTACATGGGTCAGGCTGCTCACTGACATGTGAAATCACTGTTCCCATAGATTACATAAAAAGAGGCAAAATGTAGCTTCACAGGGGAGTTTTACCACACATTCAAAGAAGATCTAATAGCCATTCTCCTCAAACTATTCTAAAAAATCCAAGAAGATGGAATACTTCTAAACTCATTTTAGGAGACCAGCATAATCCTAATTCTAAAACCAGATAAAGACACTACAAAGAAAGAAAAGTACAGGCCAATATCCCTGATGAACATAGATGCCAAAATCTTTAACAAAATATTAGCAAATCGGATCCAGCAATACATTCAAAAAAATTATTCATCACGACCAAGTGGGATTTATCCCAGGGGTTCAAGGCTGGTACAATATTTGCAAATCAATAAATGTGATACACCACATAAACAAAATGAAAGATAAAAGCCACATGATCATATCAATAGACACTGAAAAGCATTTGACAAAATCCAGCACCCATTTCTGATAAAAATGATCAGCAATGTGGGAATAGAGGGATCATATCTCAACATAATAAAGACCATATATGAAAGACCTACAGCCAACATCATACTCAATGGGAAAAAACTAAAAGCATTCCCCTGAAGAATGGGAACAAGACAGAGATGCCCACTTCTGCCACTCATACTTAACATAGTACATTAAGTCTTAGCCAAAGCAATTAGCCATGAAGAAAAAATAAAAGGGATCCAAATTGGAAAGGAAGAAGTGAAATTGTCATTATTTGCAGATGACATGATATTGTACATAGAAAACCCTGAAGATTCCATCAAAAACCTACTAGACTTAATATATAAATTTGGCCAAGTAGCAGAAAACAAAATTAACATCTAGAAATTGATGGCATTCTTCAACACCAATGATGAACTCACAGAAAGAGAAACTAAAAAAAACAATTTCATCACAGCAAAAAAATTAAGATACATAGGAATAAACATAACCAAAGAAGTAAAGGATCTATTCACAGAAAACTACAGGTCATTGAAAAAGAAATAGTGGAAGATATAAAAAAGTGGAAGCGTTTACCTTGTTCATAAATTGGAAGAATTAACATCCTTAAAATGTTCATACTACCTAAAGCAATCTATAGATTCAATGCAATCCCCATCAAAATACCAATGACATATTTCACAGAACTAGAACAAATACTTCAAAAGTTTATATGGAACCAAAAAGACCCCGAATAGCCATAGCAATCTTGAAAAAGAAGAACAAAGTAGGAGGGATCACATTACCAGATATCAGGTTATACTACAAAGCTACTGTAATGAAAACAGCCTGGTACTGGCACAAAAACAGACAGATAGAGCAATGGAATAGAACAGAGAACCCAGAAATTGACCCAAGACAATTTGATCAATTAATATTTGACAAAGGTGGCAAGAGTATACAGTGGAGTCAAGACCGTCTCTTCAACAAATGATGTTGGAAAAATTGAACAGCTACTTGCAAAAAAATAAAGCTAGACCACCAACTTACACCATACACAAGAATAAACTCAAATTGGATAAAAGACTTAAATATAACTCATGAATCCATAAAAATTCTAGAAGAAAATGTAGGCGACAAAATTTCAGACATCATACGCAGCAGAATTTTTACTGTTACCACACCTAAGGCAAAAGAAACAAAAGAAAAAATGAATACATGGGACTACATCAAACTCAAAAGCTTCTGCACAGCAAAAGAAACAATCACCAAAATTGAAAGGGAACCCACCATATGGAAGACCATAATTGCCAATGATATATCAGATAAGGGATTAATTTCCAAAATATATAGAGTACTCATACAACTCAACAAAAGGAAGACAAAGAACCCAATTTAAAAATGGGCAGAGGATCTAAATAGACACCTCGCCAAACAGGACATACAAATGGCCAAGAGACATAGGAAAAAATGCTCAACGTCACTCTGGCCAGTTTGGCTCAGCAGTTAGAGCATTGGCC